TCCTGACTCAGCAGCTAACTCAGTACTGTGGGTCTCCAGTGGCAAGTGCTGGGGAAAGCTCTTCTCTGCATCAGCGAAGGCACCTGAACTTGGGAAATACCGTAGGCAGGTGGCAGCCGGAACCCGGGATTGTGAGACTCGGTGAACTCACAGGCAGAAGGGGCCGTGCAATCCCCGGGGCTTCCTTAGCACTCGTCTCTCTGATCACACTTAGGTTTTGTGTGACAGTTAATTATTGACTTGCCTGCCAGATTGTGAGCCCCGCCTTATCCAGCCCTGCTCCCAGCACCTGATACCTAGTAGGTGCTTATCATTGTTGAGTGAATGATGAACCAATATTTGTCTTTCCCAGCTGGGTAACAGCCAGCTTTAGGGAGTGTTAAGTTTAAGAGATATGAAGGACAATAAAACCTACAGACACCCTTGTCCCCTCTGACTCCCGCTGCAGGGGGCTGTCCAATCAACGAGGCTTATTTCCTCTCTCTTCCCACCTCTTAGTCACCTTGAACTAATCAAACAAAAGCCCACGCCACTTTCTCCAGAGCTGCCCTGAGCTTTCATCAGCTCTTGATCCAAGTTTTGTGATTGGACCATGAAATTGCCAGAACTTGAGAGGTTTTGGCAAGAATTCCAGACACGGGGTGCGTATTGCAAAAGACTGGGAGCGCGTGGACTCTGTCCTGTCTGGGACCAGAGGGTGGCTTGCTGAATGGGGGACAAAGCACAGTTTTTATACAACAGAAGGTTAAATGGTAATTTAATGTCACGGACAGTGATTACATCGGCCTCCCAAAGACACAGGTGTTGGAAGCCAATCCCTGTCCTCTCTGTTTGCAGGGATGCTGCCCCTGGCTGACGGCGATCTTCCGCCTGCAGTGAGTACGCCCTGCGCCTTTGTTCGGGCTGGTTTGTTTGGCCGTTTGGCCAATCGGAGAGCCAAGATGCGCAATCCTAAGAGAGGGTCTCCTAGATACTTCTTAGTTCAAGTTCAAAGCAGTATGTGGAGGCTGAGAATAAAGGTGGCCCGGGTAGCCCCTGGGGTCAGAGACACTGGGGACGGAGGCCTGCAGGATGGAGCCTCCATGCTGGAGGGCACGCGGTTCCTGCTGGGGCTCAGGGCTTCCCACATGGTCCTCGAAGGTGCCAATGAACTTTATTCATTTCAACAGATTCAGTGGAAATCATACGTTCATCTTTCATAATGCTGCACCAGCTAATTAAGCCTAATTTTTTTGCTTTAGGCAAGAATTATTCTACTTAATATTTAACATTGATTAGATGTGGATGGAAGCTCTTCTAGGCAGGTTTATATGTCTTCAAATCAGTGAAAAGTGAAGAAATGAAATACGTTCTCCTCATTTGGTTGAAAGAGTTGCAGACTGATGTGGGTCTCGCCTCTGCCACCTGCTGCCGTGTTCCATGGACTCTAGGGAGCCATTGCTGTAAGAGGCACGTCATTTTAAGAACAAGAAAATGCTGCCAGTTAAGCTATAACTGTAGGGCGCACCCCATGTCGGAGGTGTTGAAATATGAAAAGGATATCTTAGAATCGGTGAAATACAGTGCTTGAATAAGTCCTTGTCTCTGGGCCTCAGTTTCCCCAACTGCAAAAGGAGGCTGAGGGTAACACACACTTGGCTTAACTCCGAGGAACTAACACATGTGAGAGCATGTCGCAAATGGTCAGGTTTGGCAGGAGCTGCTCCCAGGGGAACTGGCAGGAGGCAGAGTCCTGTGGAAGAAGAACGTGAGCTCTGGTCCGGAGCGGGAGGAAGCAGGAAAGGGAGTTTATTTAGAAGTGAGAACAATGCAGTTAACTGCGAAGCTTTGCCCTCTAGATAAATAGTAAACAGGACTCATGTTAACAAGCGTACTTCTAAGCACCCACTGGTACCACGCGCAGCATTAGGCGTCTGATCCTCACCGTCCCTGTGGAGCCCCTGCCGAGCGGGGAAGTAGCTGGTGGGCAGCGTCCTTGCTTGAGGTCAGAGGCTCGGGTAAGCCACGTGACCTGCTGCCAGGTGGAGGCGGCTGAGCTGGATTCCACCGAGGTCCATCTGAGTGCAAAGCCCACGCTGCCATCTTGCACAGCTGCCTTTTTGGGCGGTAGCACCGAGCTCTGGCCAGAGCAGTGCTTTCCTGGCCTTCTGGAAGCAGGGCCCTCAGGAGAGTGGGAGAGAGCAAAGCACTCTGCCCTTCTCCCTCTGGCTGTCTGAACCCAGGATTTTCTGGGTCACCAGTTGACCCAGAGCCTCCAAGTGTAGCACTCAGAGGGCAGGAAAGGGTGGAGCAGGTCACCTCCCCATCTGTGGGGTCACGGCAGGGATGCAGGGAGGAGGCAGGGGCAGTAGGACAGACTGAGACTTAGACTGTTGGAAACCTTGGCTGCACCTGAATCTCCCAGCCCACCTGAGGGGGAGATGGGAGAAAGGGCGGCCGGGGGCTAGACGCATTGCAGCCTCATTCCCAGTGGGATTCCCAGCAGCCGTCGCGCCATAGAAGCAGGAGGAGCCGTGGATGACTGCATCTGTGCACCTCACCTGTGCACATAAACACATAGCTCGGGCACAGATGTTTCCAGCAACATCAGGTGGAGTGGTGGCAGTTCCTCCGCCCAGAGTGTGGTGTAGGGGCTGAGAGGGTGGGCTCTGGATTCACGTCATGGCTCTGCTGTTACAAGCTGTGTGATCCTGAAAGTTACGCAGATTTTCTACACCTTTATTTCCTCATATGTTAAAAAACGTGGGGATACTAATCAAACCACCCCACAGGATGTGGTGAGGATTAAGTGAGATAATCCACGCGGGGGCCTGGGGCCAGCCTGTTCGTGTGCTCATGACGATTCCACGTGTGTCTCGGCCAGCGACGACCAGATCCTGGAGTGGTGCGGGGAGGACGCCATCCACTACCTGTCCTTCCAGAGGCACCTCATCTTCCTGCTGGCGGTGGTCAGCTTCCTGTCGCTGTGCGTCATCCTGCCCGTCAACCTCTCGGGAGACTTGCTTGGTAACCACCCCCTGGTCGTCGTCTGTGTGGGAGGCAGAGCAGCAGTCCCCGGGGACGGGGCTCGTGCTGAAGGGCCCCAGGAGTCACGCTCCAGTTCGGATGTGGGAAGGTCTCAGGGTGACTTCCTGAACTTTCCCATGTGATCGAAGATCCAGAGAAGAATCTACCCCGAGCCTGGGCCCCTGATACCAATTTCTGGTTCTATCTAAGTAAGAAGAAAAAAACCTCCTAAGCTTTATAGAACCGGGAGCTTTCAGAGAGTGTTTTATGCTTTCCTGCCTTCGCCCAAATTAGGAGGTCACACTTAGTAGGCCCGGAATATGTCTGATTCAGTCAAAATCAGAGTGTGGCATCGTGTCTAGGGGCGGCCTCGGGAACGCAGCTTCCAAAGTGCCGTCTCGAATCCACTTATGATGCCCAGTGATTCTCAGCCTTGGTTTCGGAAACAACTTAGGAGGTTTCTAGTTTTCTCAAAGTAAGACAAATTCAAATTTGGACTTTACCCACAGGGTAGGGTGAGAAGTTATCAGGGAGCGTCTTGGAGTAAAGCGGAGGCCTTGGTGGCGTAGCTGGAAAGGGACTGGCCCGGGCGTCTTGTGCCCCTCCTCCCCAGAGGTCCCCAAGCCAAGCCTGATTAAGTCCCCTCCTGCTTCCCGATTGTCACCCCAAAACTAAGTGCCTTTGCTTCTCTGCAGACAAAGACCCGTACAGCTTTGGGAGGACGACCATAGCAAACCTGCAGACCGAGTGAGTGTGGCGTGGCGGGTACCAGGGTGCGGCGAGACCAGGGAGAAGGCGGATTCCCCGAGCCGGGGGCCAGGCCAGGGCTGGGCCGGAGCGGGCCGGCCAACATCTGAAAGCCCCACGCGCCAGCGTGTTGCTGGGCCATGGGCACGAACGCGCCACAGGCAGCTGCTGCTTTGTGGGGGGATCTGATGAAACACAGGGGACCCCGTGGATCCGAAGCTCGTTTGTCAGGGCAGGAAGAGTTCGCTAGGGGCCCAGGGGCATTGGCCACTTGCCTGTGTGGGAGGATCTGTTGACGAAGCCGTTGGCCGTCAGCCCACTGCCCGCTGAGGACAGCCAGGCGCCAGCCCTGCACCCCCAGCGCCCTGCCCGGGCCCCCGCCCTGATGGCACACGTCTCCCCTCAGCAAGGACCTGCTCTGGCTGCACACCGTGCTCGCCGTCATCTACCTCCTCCTCACCGTGGGCTTCATGCGGCACCACACGCGGTCCGTCAAGTACAAGGAGGAGAGCCTGGTGAGCGGGCTGGGCGCGTGCTGGGGCCGCCCAGGCTCATGCCCCAGGGCCGTGACGGCGCTCAGCGAGGGCCCTCTGCAGCGCGGCTGGCATACTCGTGCTCACACCTGGCGTTTTCTTCTTCCTCTTTTTTTTTTTTGATTTCCTGGTAGATCGTTTTAAGATTTGGACATTTCCCCCTCTTTCTGCCAGCTCGCCCTTTGACTGGTGGGGTCTGGGCTGCAGTTACTGATGCTGAGGACAGAGGAGGTTTGGGTGGGGAGCAGCGCTTTCTCTTTGCACCCCAGCTTGACAGGGGAGGGGAGCATCTGTGACTTGGTTCCAGGCCGGGGTCCTCCTCCGGTCAGCCGTGTGACCCCCATTTCAGGCTCTTCCCCTTTCTAGGTTCTTTCTCAGCCTCCTGCCGTAGCATTGGCTCAGAGGGTTGTTTGCAAAGGGATTCTTTGCACAGGCGGGAGGATGTGTAAATATTAATACGGTAACATGCCCCGGGCCCTCCCAGGCCACGGGAGGAGAGAACCTGCGCCTCCTGATTCCCCGCCGTCATCTTTCGGGAGGCTCGGACAGGGCAGAAGACTGGGCCTACCCGGAAACTGGCTTGTCCCAGTGACTTTTCTCCCTGGTGTGTTTCTCCGACAGGTGAGGCGGACGCTGTTTATCACAGGACTCCCCAGAGATGCCAAGAAGGAGGCTGTGGAGAGCCACTTCCGGTAAGCGGGGCTGGGGCCAAAGGGAGCCGAGTCCCCCAGGCAGGACCAGCTCAGCCCCAGGGGCACGCACCTTAGGTGAGCCTTCCGTCTTTCACTTGGGTATCCAGGTGAGATCCCAGAAGGACCTGGCCCTGCCACACAGGTATCAAGTGGCTCCCGTGTGCCAGCTTTGCTGGTGCTGTGCAAGGTTGGAGCCTGGGTGGCCCATCCTCTGCCAGTAGCCAGGGTGGCCCCACGGGACCGCATCCTCTGGGGTGTGGACAGGGTGGAGGCGCAAATAAACGTCATCAGAGCACACAGGAAAAGAAAATGGTTTGCCCTGGGGTTCTCAGGGTCAGCTTTGTAGAATAAGAGATAAGTGAGGTGAGCTTTTGCACCCACCCACAGAGCTGGACTCTCAGAGCGGGAAGGACCTCAGGGCCACCTGCCTTTGTTGGTTCATCCACCCACTCAGCAGGTGTCTGTTGAGTGAGCACTGTCTGTCGGAGTCCAGACTCTCCCTGGCAGAAACTCCTTTCCGGCAGCCCCCGTGGAGCAACTGCACCAACAATTCCTGCAGGTGGAGGCTGGAGGAAAGGCTTTCCCTGAGAGAAGAAGATTGTTTGATTTTTTTTCAGCTTTTTTTTGAGACAGGGCCATGCTCTGTTGCCCAGGCTGGAGTGCGGCGGTGCGATCATAGTTCACTGTGACCTCGAACTCCTGGGCTCAAATGATCCTCTCACCTCAGCCTCCTGAGTAGCTGGTGCTACAGGCATGCACCACCACACCCAGCTAATTTTTCCTTTTTCTTTTTGTTGTAGCGATGGGGTCTTGCTATTTTGCCCAGGCTGGTCTTGAACTCCTGGCCTCAAGTGATCCTCCTACCTTGACCTGCCAAAGTGCTGAGCTTATAGGCGTGAGCTACCGAATCCAGCCTAGAATCATTTTTCTCTATTCTTTGAAACAGCTCCTCAAAGTTGCCTGGTAGGCAACATTTGGAAGCAGTAGTACCACTTAATGTATAAGCTTAAAGAGAAAAAAAAGTCCCCTCGTTCCCATGCAAACATTGTGTGGCTCATACGTGCCCCTATTTTAGGAGGCCTTTTTAGTGAACACAGTTGTAATCCCTGGGGATTGATGTGTGGATTTGCCTTGCAGCAGGGATGCTTAAACTGGAGTTCTCGTCCTCACAGCTCTTACTGGGACCAGAAATTGTCCCACTATTTAATTGAATGATTGACTTGTCTATGGGCTGTTTCTCTCACTAAAAAGTAAACTTATCCTGGCCCTGTTCCCAGCATCTAGAACGGTGCCGGGCACACCGTAGCTGGGGACTTACATGGTCCTGGAATTCCTGGGAGTTCCGTGTACGGTTGTGTGTGTGTGGTGTGGAGGCATCGAATGGTGTCACAGGCATTGTCTTTGGAGCGGGGCTGCCTGTAGTCACCTCCCGGCTCAGACACTCACTAGCTGTGTGACTTTGGGCACAAGCCACTTAACCTTCGCGGGCCTTGGTTTACTCATCTGTAAAATGGCGACAAAACCTCCTAGGTTATGATGAGGATCAAATACGTTAGCACATGTAATAATACCTTGCTGATCGTTAATATGTGTGTAGACATTTTCTGGGTGAGGGTCTTTAGCCTTCTTTAGACCCCCTAAAAGGTCTGTGACCTTCAAAGAGGCTACCAACGGAATAGGATTCACTGGTGGCCCAAGGCAGATACTGACCTAGAGCAAACAATAAAGCTCTTCCTTTGCGTGGTTAGAGGGAGGTGCTCGTTTCTCCCCGTGAGAAGCGCCAGCCGATTGAAAGCCAAGTGGGTATAAACCGTCAGTTCCGGGCAGTTAGTTTCACACTGTTAAAAAAGGCTCTTTGCATTAAATTTCAAAGTTTCCGCCTTCTGAGGGATAAAAGGCAAGGGGAAAAGAGGTCTCCGCCGGCACAGAAAGGAGCAGTGTGCTTGCTCTGCCATCCTTTCCCTCGGACGCGCAGGCGTGTCTCCTGCCTGGCTGTTCTCTTTTCCAACGGCGTTCTTTGCCGCTCCCTCCCCGGCCGCAGGGACGCGTACCCCACGTGTGAGGTGGTGGATGTTCGGCTGTGCTACCACGTGGCCAAGCTGATGCACCTGTGCAAGGAGAGGTAAGGGGCGGCGGGCAGGCGTGCTGGCCTGGAGCTCTCTGACCCCTTCCCCACCCAAGATGCCACCTCTTTCCTTCTGGCCTGGGGCCCCCCGGCGGGGAAGGTGGGGGAGGCCCTGCCTCTTTCTTGTTCAGAAAGCTGGATTCCCCTTTTTCTCCTGGGGCCCGACGCTGAACTGTGGGTGTGGGGCCCATGCCACAGGTTGGAGTCTGCAGCTTGCGCCTCCTGCTCCCGCCCCGCAGGAGGAAGACTGAGAAGAGCCTGACCTATTACTCGAGCCTGCAGGCGAAGACGGGCCAGCGCACCCTCATCAACCCCAAGCCCTGCGGCCAGTTCTGCTGCTGCGAAGTGCGAGGGTGTGAGTGGGTGAGGGCTCTACCCCAGCTCCCCGAGCACGGGGAGTGCAGGCACTGGCACCGGGGTGCCCTGACACCTGCACCGGACCACGTCATCCCAAGGGGATGTGTCTCTGGCAGGAGGACGCCATCTCCTACTACGCGCGCATGAAGGACCGGCTGCTGGAGAGGATCACGGAGGAAGAGCGCCACGTCCAGGACCAGCCCCTGGGAATGGCCTTCGTCACCTTCCAGGACAAGTCCATGGCCACCTAGTGAGTGTGGGCATGTCCCAGGTCCCCTCTTGGGCTGATGTGGTCTGGCCCCGCTGCCGCGCTCTCCCAGCTGTGCCGGGATCCGTTCCGCTGGCTCTATGTGTCAGTGTTCTGCCCGGGGGTGCGTGCACCCTCCTTCCAGATCTCCACTCTGGAACCACACATCCTTCTGCTTGTGGACTCCGCATCTTCCCACAAATGCAAAGCTGAGGGGGAGACCGCTGGGGCACTCCAGGGTGCTCACTGCTTTGGGGGTCATGGCCCAGGGGAGTGGCTTTTCATAGAGCCCCTTGGCACGGGGCTCTAAGCTTGCAAAATACTCTCACACTTTTGGGAGCAGCAGGGGTAGGTCAGGAGGGGATGCAGAAAGGAGTGGCGAAGCCAGTGCCCCTTCCCCTGCCTTCCCTACCCCAGGCATCGGGAGCCTGGGAGGTTCCCTGCTGGGGTTCCTGCCTCGCTGCAGAATCTGGAGCGGGAGGAAAGAGGAAGGGTGTTCTGAGACAGGAGTCAAGGGCCGGTGGGTTCCTTATGGGAGGCTAAGGGGGGAAAGCTGCAACCCATCGAGAGGGTGAGGGTCGAGGTGGGAGTCCTGGGGAGGGAAGTTGGGGAACAGGCAACGTGGTCTGATGCTCCTCTCCAGCCCGAGGAGGAAGCGAGGGAGTGAAAGTCCTGGCAGCAGGCTCAGGTCAGAGCTCCACGTCTCAGGGAGGGCGGTGGGGAATAGCCCCCCTGGAGGAGGGGTGTGCTGGGGGCTGTTGGCCTCAGTTTCCTGTCTGTGAAATGGGAATAGCAATCCCTTGCTTTGTAAGGTTGTTGTGAGGAGTAAACAAAATCCTCCATGTAGTTTGCCAAGCGTGGCACCTCTTACATAGCCTTATTATAGTAAAGTAATAATAACAAAGCAAAGGCCCCGTGGAACAAGGCTCCCACTCTTACTCAGTCCCCATTTGCCATGTACGTGTGTGGTGTCCTGGGTGGGTTTGGCCCTGACCGTGTCTGCGTTTCCTGGCAGCATCCTGAAAGACTTCAACGCCTGCAAGTGTCAGGGCCTTCGCTGCAAAGGCGAGCCCCAGCCGTCCTCCTACAGCAGGGAGCTCTCTGCCTCCAAGTGGACGGTCACCTTCGCTGCTTACCCCGAGGACATCTGCTGGTGAGCTCCCGGGCCAGGGGAGGGCGGGAGAGAGGCCTGGGCTCCTGGTGGGGGCTGCCTGTCACCCGGAGCACAGGTGTGACCTGCCGTTCGATGGATATCTACACACATCTGCAACTCTCTGGGCCAGGGTGCTGGCATGTGCTCGACGTGGCCGAATTGGGTGTCCACTCCTGGCACGTCCCTCCGGCGTTACTCCCTAGCATTCAGGCGCTGCCCAGCAGAAATTTAACGTGAGCTTGTGTGTGATTTTAATTTCCTAGTAGCTGTGTTAAAAAAGTGGAAAGAAACAGTTGGAATTCATTTTATTTTTTATTTTATTTTTTTGGGACAGAGTCTCACTCTCTTGCCTGGGCTAGAGTGCCATGGCGTCAGCCTAGCTCACAGCAACCTCAAACTCCTGGGCTCAAGCGATCCTCCTGCCTCAGCCTCCCGAGTAGCTGGGACTACAGGCATGCGCCACCATGCCCAGCTAATCTTTTCTATTTTTAGTTGTTTGGCCAATTTCTTTGTATTTTTAGTAGAGACGGGGTCTCGCTCTTGCTCAGGCTGGTCTTGAACTCCTGAGCTCAAACGATCCACCCGCCTTGGCCTCCCAGAGTGCTAGGATTACAGGCGTGAGCCACCGCGCCCGGCCTGGAATTGATTTTAATAATTTATCTCTCCCCATATAGCCAAAATGTTATCATTTCAACATGTAGTCTGTTTTTCAAAGATTTGAGATGTTTTACATTCTTTTTCCTACTTAGTCTTGGAAATCTGGTGCGTATCATACACTTGTAGCCCCTCTCAATTCAGAGCAGCCACGTCGCAAATGCTCAGTAGCCACATGTGGCTTGTGGTTCCCGCGTCGGACAGTGCAGCCTTAGCCTGGGCGACACGCTGGTGAGCCGTGTCCACGGAGGCCATAGGTGAGCCTTCGGCACAAGACCGCAGTTGAGGCACCCCAGCAGAAACCCCAGCACGGCTGCCTGTCCAGTTCCTTGCACAGAAGGAGCTTCGGGTGCTTGTCCCCACTGAGTTCTAGTTCAGCCTCTGACAGTTTTGCCCTTCAGCCTCCTAAACTGGGATCGGCTTGTGGGTCTGTTCTTGGTGGAGGCGAGACCAGGGCAGGTGCCAGCTGTGCCTCTGCTCCTTTGTCCCTCCCTCCCTTCTCCTTGCACCCAGCCCGTGGTCCACTTGGGAAGAATGTGTTGTTAGTCAGGAAGCGTTGCAGACGTGTCTAAGAAAGGCCACGTTGGAGCCGTGTTTGGTGTGCTTTGTGCTCCTGGCATCTCTTTGGGTAGGTTCTGGCCAGACTCTAGCAGGGGAGCCAAGTCAGGGAATAACCTGTTTTCCAGCTGAGCTCACAGGGACCCGAGATTTGGCCTTCCTGTAGCTGAAGGTCAATGCAGAGAACTTGCCTTTACTCCTGAGGCCCACACGAGCCTCAGCCAAGCCCCTGGGCTAGTCCCTCGGCCTCCCTGAATCTGACCTTCCAACCCACCTAAGCTTCCAGCCCACCTAAGTGGGCACTCGGAGATAAGCCTCGGGGCCTGTGTCCCCCACCCCGCAGGAAGAACCTCTCTATCCAGGGCCTGCGTTGGTGGCTCCAGTGGCTGGGCATCAACTTCATTCTCTTCGTGGGGCTGTTTTTCCTGACCACACCCTCCATCATCCTGTCCACCATGGACAAGTTCAACGTCACCAAGCCCATCCATGCGCTGAATGTGAGTGACATCTGCAAGGCCCACCCCGGTAGGGCTGCCTGGGGGCGGAAGAGGGGCCGAGGAGTGTGGAGGGGCTGAGCCAGGAAGCCACGTTGCTCAGCTCACGTCTGTGATTCTAAGCCCTGAACAGGCATGGCCCCGTTTCTTCCAATGTCTTTATAGTAATGCCAGAAAAAAAGTTGTTTTTAATGTGATTAATCTAAATGTTCAACAGTGGGGGTCATTTAAGTGGAATGAGGGGTATCAGCCTGACAGAAGGTTAAGCGTGCATTAAGAATTGCACAGACTTTGTGGCAGACACGGGGGCCTTGCGGCAGAAGCAGAAC